CATACACACTACACACACTGCCCCATACACACACTAAACACACTGCCCTGCATCCCATACACACACTGCCCCCCATACACACATTGCCACACATACACACATTGCCCACACACACACATACAGTGCCCCCCCATACACACTCCTCCAAACACACATACAGTTCCCCCCATACACACTCTGCAACTCTCACACACACACTGCACCGCTCACACACTGCCCCACACATACACTGCCCCCTAACACACACACTGGAACCCTGACATAAACTGCCGCCTAACGCACTCGCACACACATTTCACCGCTCACACACACACACACTGCACCTTTCACACACTTCACCCCTAAAACATACCACTGCTCCTATACCCTATATCCCAGCAGACCCCAGGTAAGTTGTCAAACTGTTCTTAAACAGTTTGACTACTTACTCTGAGATGGGATCCTGGCACTACTAGCACCATAACTACTACACTGAGCTGTAGTGGTTATTGTGCCTGGATTATTTCTTTAAATAATCTACAAGTGCCCCTCCCGAGATCAGGCTCTGGATCTGCCCCTGCACAGTATTCCCCCCTCCTACACACCATCACCCACCTCCCTCACAGTATATCACCTCCCTCTCAGTATTACCCCCTCCCACACACTATCGCCCCTATATCCCATACACTATCACCCCCTCCCTCACCAGATCACCCCTTCCACACACACAAACTGTCACCACCTCACACACACAGTATCATCCCCTTCACACACAGTCACTCTCCCTTATACACACTGTCACCCCTACAATGTGGTGTCACCATACTCATACACTGTCACATTCCCACACATTGTCACCCGCCCTCACACTCTCACCCCCTCCACACTTTCAGCCCTTTCATGCATCCACACTCTCACTAACCACTCCTAGTCCTGTTAATCTTACCCCCTCCAAACTCACCTGCCCTCTCTTTGCCACACTCATTAACCCCCTTAATCCTGGCACACTCCTTCCTTAAACCATGCCACATTCACCCTTCACTCCAAAACTGTAATACTCACCCCACCCCAACTATGCCACACTTACCGTCACTTAAATCTTAAATTTTCATTTTTGTTTTCGAGAACCCCTTCACACCAGTACTTATTTATACACGACTGCCGGGCTATGTGACCATACCCCACAATTGTGTATAAACGATTGGCATAATTGCAAATTAAATTTATTTATTGCAAATTAATTTTGTTTGCAAAATGTGCTACAACTATAGCCAGAGAGCTCACAATGCAGGGGCACAGGAAGCTCTGACATTGCAAGCTTCTGAACAATGAATGCAGAGACTGACTCTCTGTATCCAGTGCTGCAAGCACGCCTCTCGATATAGCAAATGCTCCTTACACTTATACAAAATACAAGCCTATTATTTTATACTTTGGGTGTAAGTGGGGCCTCATGCTTGAAGTTCGCCTAAGGCCTCATAAAGTCTAGAGCCGCCTCTGCAGGTAAGAAATATATAATCAACCATGACGGGTACATTCTGTTTTGAAAATCAGTGAGAAAATTTAACAGAAGCCAGAAAAAATATTGGTATGCATATTTTATATTTGCATGCCTTTCTATTTAAGAGGTTTTGAAATCCAAAAATCAACACAACTGATTGTAACTGGTGCATTACACGTAAAATAGTGTGCTATATTGCCATATAGCAGAGGGATAATGCCCTGAGCAACACTAAATGTTCCCCATAGAGATGCATTGATTCATTGCATATCTTTGAGGAGATGCTGATTGGTGCAGTGTAACATTTAGTCCCACATGCTCAATAGCCTCCCAATGCTTTCCTATGGGAAATCATTATATTGCCTGAGATTAACAAGATTGATGATCTCAGCCATGGAGGCGGGGCCAGCTGTTGCCAGACCTGCAGAACAGTGGAGAAAAGACAAGTTAAAAACCTTTCATCTCCACGGTGGGATGGTCGAATGTTAGGACTACATGATTCCTTTAAAAAAGAAAAGCACTTACATGTGTGCATGATAAATTCAATTGGTGGGACTCCTCAAAGACTTTTTATTTTGGTAACCAGTATTACATAATTTTTTCCTGATAGGACCTGGATCTGGAACTTAAAAAGGTGTTCTGCATAACTCCTGGTGGGAATGGACTCACTTATGTACTTACCTGGGTTATTGTAATTTAACCAATTGTAAATATTTAACCCCTTCCATTAGTGAATCATTGCAGAGTTAGTGAATCATTGCAGGGACATTGGAATTACTTCTTTATTTTATTGAAATATAGAGGCAAAAGTATAATAACCATGTTTTATAAAATAGTCATATGTTTCACAGGTTAAAGAAGATGAGTCATACCTGCTAATGGGATATACTGATGATCATAGTGCAAATGACAGTTCACTGATATCTGAACAGTTAAGGTAAGGCTTCTATTATTTGGAGTATTTAGGTAGTATAGTTTGGGTGTTTGAGGTAATTATCTCATCTCAGCCATCTGAATTCTCATTTTGTTCCAGCAAACTGTCCATAATACATTGTCAAGAAGACACATCTCTAATTAACAATACAAAATGATAATGTATGAAATATCTCCCATTTACCCTCGCTTCTAGTTATGCATCACACAGAAAGTGATGACCCCATATAAGCACCATACAATAACCTACATATTGAGTACATGATAACTTTCCATAGCAGTTAGGTGTTAGGTAGCAATTAAAGGTTCAGGAAATACATAGCATACATATGCAGGCGCTGGTGTTAGTTTTAATTCAACCTGATAAATTACAAATACTTACAGGAAGAATATACAATTCACAAATTGCCTCATGACCTATAACTGAAACATTATTAAAGAAACAATATGCTAATGTGTGATTCCATTAAGTGTTAATTGTGCATTTTTTTTTAAATTAAAATATACCCATCTGTGAATATCTAGTTGCATGTGTTTTGTTTGTTTTTTTGTTAAAAAACAAAACAAAAAACAAATTGGATATTTAAAGTAATTGTCAATTCCAAATTGCTGTTGAGATCATGTGGATTCTCATAGTATTGTATTTAAATGTTGGCTCACTTTCTTTAACCCCATAAGGACCAAACTTCTGGAATAAAGGGGAATCATGACATGTCACACATGTCATGTGTCCTATAGGGGTTAAATACAAAATTTCTTTCCACCTGGTTTTGTAGACTCTCTTAATGACCGTAAACTGTAAGCAATGTGAATCATGTTTGTGCATCAGTTTAATGTGAGGTAAAACACTATGCATGTCATATCTTTTCTCCATCCTATAAAACCTTTGCCATGCATGTCATGAAATGAAGCCTACAGGGTCAGAAAAGACTACACATTTTACAGTGAGTATAGCATGGTGTCAGGAGGGTGGAGCAGATCTCCGAAATGGAATCCCTGAACGCTGCCCTTAGGAGCACTTCTGACAAATATAGCTTGACCTGGATGCCCTGATTGGATTACATCTCCCGGAAGGCCACTGATACTCGTAAACCATCACCCCCTGTCCCACTAGACCAGAGAAACACAGAACACGAATCTCATCTCCTGCCTGATCCAATCAAACCTCCAACCCCTATTTTATTTCCCTCTTTCCCTCCGCTTCTCTTTCTAAGACTACTTCCTCTCCTCAACCCTTTTGCTACTCTTTTCACACATGCTACATGCTCACAACCCACGGCACTTGACTACACTTATGGTACTCATCTAGTTTACTCACTTGGGCATAGTTCAAACGAGTTAAGGATCTGGCAGCCTTGTTTTACTGAGGTTTGCTACGGTCACGCTCACTACTTGTGTTTTTTCTGTGTTGTAATACTTCTGTACTATTATAGCTGTTGTAGGCCTACTTACCTGTTTCCACTACTGTACATCTAGCTTCAAGAAAATGTTGTTGATAACGTCTTTAAATAAAGATCGCCAAAAAAAATTAAATAAAATAATTCGCTGCTGTACGGGTCCTTTTGGACTGCAAAATCTGAACATTGCTGATGAAATCCATCAGTGTCTGGATTTTGTAAATCAGGCCCCAAACAGATCTGAGTTTTGTCAGGACTGACCGCCACTGGATAGCTGAAATCCAGCCCGGAGGCTTTAACTCCAGGCCCGGATAAAAAAAACAAACAAAAAAAAAACTTCCTGCCCCCTGGCTGCTAGCAAATAGTTAAAAAACAAAACAGCACTTATTGGCGCTAGTGTTAGTTACGTGGCGGCTGGTCAGAACTTGCTAGCCAGCCGCCACATTAAAAAAATAAATAGAATTATTATAAATAAAAATCATATGGGGGTCAATAAGACCCCTATATTGCTAAAGTGGAGGTTGTAAAATGTGTGCTTAAACTGAAAAGTAGTGACAAGAGAGTCATTGCTGCCCAGTCGCTAGAAAAGGTCCTCATGGGTATGGGGCCTGTGAAATCGTTTGGGAGCTACTTTAAATATTAAGGACGTGGACCTATTGACCCTTTCTTTAGCCCCCACCCATGCCTGTGGATAGGGGCCCTAATATTACCAATAGGGAAGGGAACCTATTGTCCCCTCCCCTGGCCCCCAGAAATTCTAGCAGCTGGGGACCCTAATTAGTTATAAAATAAAGTCCCTACCCACACTCCCTCCCTCCCTCACCATAATAGTTTTTAAGGGCCCAAAAAAAAATCTTAAACCTGTAAAAATAAATACATTTACTTACTTATTGGAAGTCTTATTTCTTTTAATTCTTCACTCCCGAAAAAGGCCAAATAAATACCCATAACAGATGCCATAAATTATTAAAAAAAATAAAATTAAAAAAAAAGCGCCCAAACAAATAAAAGATCCCACCACAATATAAAAAAAAAAAAATCTTCACCCATGGAGTGTTTGACACAGAATGAACGCTTTTAGCGGGGAAAACCCTTGTATAGGCTTTTCCACACTGACAGCCCTTGCAAATCATGAGAAAATTACCAGGAGCACTCTGAATGTTTGGCTAGTAAGCAGGGTTGGGGAGACGTATTCTGCTTAGGTGACCAGAGAGTCTGTCACAAATACCACTTAGAGAACAAATAAAAACCAAAATATGATACCTGCTTTAGACTTTTAAGGATTTAAACTTACTGTGCCTAATCAGAAAAGTACAAATGTTACTTTTTGGACTGTGAGGATGTAAAGAATGCACTGCACAAGCAACATATAGCTCCATAAAACAACTCTTAAAGAGGTCTCTCATTGCCCATCCCATATCTGTCTTAATTCGCATTTCCCTCTAAAATGAAATTGCTGTCCTTGCTCCCTAGCATGTCCCATGCATCATAATCCGAAGAATCTTCACAAGCAACTTCCACTAAACCATCATTATTATTAATGCCATTTATATAGTGCCAACAGATTCTGTATTCTCATGTCTCTCCTCATTAATGCCACGCAATTCTATAATTCTCCCCTCATTATATTTCTAACAATTATGTCAGATCTCTCCTTACTGCATATCATCTTTTTGCTGTTACATCCTCCATCCCATTCCTAATCATCCATTACATACTCCATTATATTTTTCACATTTATTCAATCTCATTCTGCCTCCCTCCCCACATTTCATAGCTACCAAACATTCTACACTGAACAAAATTATAAACGCAACACTTTTGTTTTTGCCCCCATTTTTCATGAGCTGAACTCAAAGATCTTAGACTTGTAAACAAAAGGCCTATTTCTCTCAAATATTGTTCACAAATCTGTCTAAATCTGTGTTAGTGAGCACTTCTCCTTTACCGAGATAATACATCCACCTCACAGGTGTGGCATATCAAGATGCTGATTAGACAGCATGATTATTGCCCATGTGTTGCAAAGGCCAATTTAAAATGTGCAGTTTTTCTGTATTTGGGGGGGGGATCCGGGTGGGTCCGAAAAACAGTCAGTATCTGGTGTGACCACCATTTGCCTCACGCAGTACAACACATCTCCTTCGCATAGAGTTGATCAGGTTGTTGATTGTGGCCTGTGAAATGTTGGTCCACTCCTCCTCAATGGCTGTGCGAAGTTGCTGGATATTAGCAGGACCTGGAACACGTTGTCATATACGCCGATCCTGAGCATCCTAAACATGCTCAATGGGTGACATGTCCAATTAGAATGCTGGCCATGCAAGAACTGGGATGTGTTTAGCTTTCAGGAATTGTGTACAGATCCTTCCATTATCATGCTGCAACATGAGGTGATGGTCGTGGATGAATGGCATAACAATGGGCCTCAGGATCTTGTCATGGTATCTCTGTGCATTCAAAATGCCATCAATAAAATGTCCCTGTGCCACTCTATCCACAACGTTCACATCAGCAAACCGCTCACCCACAAATCGCCATGCATGCTATCTGTCATCTGCCCTGTACAGTGAAAACCGGGATTCATCCGTGAAGAGAACACCAGATGCCATCTAATGTGAGCATTTGCCCACTCAAGTCGGTTACGTCGAACTGCAGTCAGGCCGAGACCCCGACGAGGACAATGAGCATGCAGATGAGCTTACCTGAGACGGTTTATGACAGTTTGTGCAGAAATCTTTGGTTATGCAAACCGATTGTTGCAGCAGCTGTCTGGCTGGTCTCAGACGATATTGGAGGTAAAGATGCTGGATGTGGAGGTCCTGGGCTGGTGTGGTTACACGTGGTCTGCGGTTCTGAGGCTGGTAGGATGTACTGCCAAAATCTCTGATATGCCTTTGGAGATGGCTTATGGTAGAGAAATGAACATTCAATTTACGGGCAACAGCTCTGGTGGACATTCCTGCAGTCAGCATGCCAATTGCACACTCCCTCAAAACTTGCAACATCTGTGGCATTGTGCTGTGTGATAAAACTGCACATTTTAGAGTGGCTTTTATTGTGGCCAGTATAAGGCACACCTGTGCAATAATCATCCTGTCTAATAAGCATCTTGATATGCCACACCTGTGAGGTGGATGGATTATCTCGGCAAAGGAGAAGTGCTCACTAACACACATTTAGACAAATTTGTTAATATTTAAGAGAAATAGGCCTTTTTTGTACATAGAAAAAGTCTTAGATATTTGAGTTCAGCTCATGAAAAATGGGTGCAAAAACTAAAATTTTGTTCAGTGCCAACACATCTAAAAACAGCATTGAGATGGTGGATGCAATACAAGAACATCCAGAAGGCTTTTACTCTGATCCAGACCCGCAAATTGTAATGACCGATGCCAGCTCCAGGAGTTGGAGATGTTGGTGGGATCTCCATATGAGACAGGACGTCACCAACTCTGTGCTAGGTTCAGAAAATTATTTAATGGCTTTAAAGAAACCCAGAGATCATCTGAGAAAATAGCAAAGCAATTCTGAAGAGGGTCGGTCCCTCATTTACTTTAAAACAGGATTGTATATTCATAACTAACAATTTTGTCTTTCTGTCATTGGTGACTATGATAGTAATGATAATGATGAAGTTATTTGCATTTATTTAGCACACTAGGAATTATTATTATTTCAAACCTTACTCAAAAGGATATTGCTCCCTGTGAACATTATCCTCCCCTCAGTTACTATTACAGAATTTTAGTTCTAAAACAATAGTAGAAGTACATGGCTGTTTCATGATACATTTAAATGAACTCTCCATGCACGGTGCTGAATGTGTCTGGGGTCTGTCATTTTCATGATAGATTATAAAAGTACCGATTTCAATAGAGGTTTGTACTTTTATAATTGGAAACTACTCAA